AAATACATTATTTTGGACCATTAAATGACATTACAGGTATGAAAGCAGTGTAAAGTGAAAGAATGTTATCAGAAAGTATAAGAACCAGAAAACAATTAGAAAAACAGGGGCAGCAGGTGACTAAGTGGCTAAGGCACTGGACTCCCACATGGCTGACTGTGGTTTGAGTCTTGGGCCTGGTGGCTTAAAAATCACACCGGGTGCGTGTGTATGTGTGCCCAAAATCCTGAGAGGAGAATGGAGTAGAAGGGATGGCAGTATGGCCATCCCCCCTGGTGAGTGATTTATCACTTTCCCTGTGTCTCTGTCTCTCTCTGTTGAGTGCATGTGCCCTATGGCAAAAACCTATAAAAACAAAACAAAAATTAGAAAACCAGTGAGAGGATTTAAACATTGAGTAAGAAAGCACAAAGGGGCCTAAGTGCCTTCCACAACTGTTCCCTGAAGCCTTCCCTATATCATTACATGCCCGGGCTCTGGGTTCTCAGCTCAGGTGATCATAGGACTCATGGCAACATTACACATCCCAACAGGATACTGCATGCTTTGCTTTTCTCACTTTTGTTAACGCCAAGAAATTCAAATTTTTTAAATAAATATTTTATTTTCTAAAAGTTCCAAGTACTTATCTATAACAAAATTGCAAACATGGCCCAATTATTTACCATTCAGTTCACAAATGCAAAATGTAAGCCAACTGAAAATTTAAATGCCTCCAGTTTGAAAATAACTCAATATAATTTTTCTTTTTTTATATATATATAAAACATTCCTGTCATTCAAAAGCTTGTCACTGGTTTGGGGAAGAAAAAACTAGAAATACATTACATAATTAACAAGTGGCATTATTAATTATTTTAAGTTGATAAACTTGATAACTGATATTTGGTAATAAAGGACATCAAAAAGACTGATCGGTGTATCCTAACCAAAATGTCAGCCTGTAAGTGTTTAGGACTTAATAATTTGAATTTTCATTTTAACATTCAAATTTTTATTCTTGGTTTCCACAAGGTATTAAATTTCAGTCTTTAAAATAGCCATATTTTTTACAAGAATCTAGTATTCTAGTCCTTGTAATATATACTATCATAAATTTTATTGTTTATTCTTCACCATCGTATCCAAAGTTATAATAGTTAAGCAATTCATTTCCTCTGACAACACAGTCTTTTCAGAGATCTTTGCTTAGTTCATCATTTCCTTTCATTTGGGTCTCTGCTCAAATGTCACAACTCAGAATCCGTCCCTGACCACAGTAACTAAAATAGCACACGCTTTACCTCCCAATCACTGCCCTAAGCCTAGCACTCTCTTTCTTTCCCTTCCTTAGTTTTCTTAAAACTCCCCACTACCTGAAATTACATATTTATTGTTTGACATCTTCCAGGCTGGGTATCCAGGGCCTTGAATAATTCTAGTATATAGTAAATGATTAATAAAAAAACTGAAAAGGATGAAGTTGGAGATGTTTTTGGAAAGATCTTCATACACACTAGTCAAAGTCCTTCATTTTACATATAAATTTACTAAAACACAAAAAATGTTAGTTGAATTTCTCAAGTTCATCTAAGAATCCATCAAACTAAAATTACAAACCTAGCTCCTCATCCAGTGGTCTTTAACACTGTACCAACTAGTCTGTCACTACATGTAAACAAATGCAAAGGTCTCTTCCTTTGAAGTACATAAAACCTTTAATCTAATAATCACCAGAAGAACGCTTGTGTAATTCACTATTACCACCGATTCATTAAAAGCTGGGTTTGCTTTTCCCAAAACGGCCAGTTACAAATTTTAAAGTTGAGATTTATAGTACGTACCAAAGAACGCCTCATCTGCATCAATATAGTCATAAAGCAGTCAAAGCTGATCATTCCTTCCTGGCTTGAGAGTAGTTTGCTTTTCTCCATGGTGTTTACAACTGCTGATGCCCCCAAAGCCATTTCTATCCATTCAAGAAGATAACGCAGAGAGCCACGTTGAGCTGCTAAACCAAGCAGCAACTCAGAAGCTAATCTACGGCCTAAAGTGTCTGCCCCAGAATTGGGAATAGTTACTCCTTTAAGAAATGTTGTTACTTGTGATAAGCAGTCCAAGCCCATGGGAGGAATCTTGCTTTCATTTGCTAAAGACAATGGTGGCAAAGAGCTCACAACTTCAATTGCAGTGTGAATAACGTCATTGCAAAGACTGAGACCAGGTCCCGACACAGGCATCATCCAACTTTGTCTTAGAAGTGCAAATAATAAACTCAGACCAGTTCGAACTCCCATTTCTATAAGTGCATCAGTGCTTGACCGTGGACGCTCACTAACAGAATGGACATCTGCTG